CCTGCGGCCGGCGGCGCCTGTCACGTGAGCGGCGCCGCGCCCGTCACGTGATTTACGGGTCTCGCGAGAGCGGGCGTCGGGCGCAGCGGCTTGGCTCCCCCGCGGTTCCTCACTACGAGAGGACGGCGGGGCACGTGACCGTGGCGGGCACGTGAGCCCTAGCCACGTGACCCACCCCTCCAGCGGCGGCTGAAGAAAGCGGGCTGCGGTTTTGGGAAAAGGAAGCGGAACCGCCAAGGCCGGAGAAAGTGAGGCCCGAAAATGGGAAGTTGCACGGAGCTGCGCAGCGGCCGGGCCCGCGGCACACCCGCAGGTCACAGGCCACCCCTCCTTCCCCCGGAGGTGTGCGGGTCTGGACACCCCTTCGCCCCGGGCGCCCGCCCTTCCACTTCAGAACCGGGCTGACCGCATTTTGAAGGCAGGGTAGCAGCTTTAGCAGGACGCGGCCACCCACTTAGCGCCATTCATTACCAGGGATTTTACACATTTGTAATGCTGCTTTCTTGGTGACTGGTGAAAACCTTCCATTTTGGCCTGTACTCGGAGAAAAGCTACCTTGAATGTCTCATGTGGGATAACGGCGTTTCATTTGCTTATCTGAAAGGCAAGCAATTTCACTCTCTCCAATTTCATTTTCCCTGCCCTTTTCAATAATTTCTTCTAAGCCATTTTGCCACATTAATCTTTAAAACAGTTCAGAATGGCACTGACAAGAGAATGGACAGAAACGATGAGACAGAAGTAAGGTACACTGCCCTTCCTGAGCAGTGGTGGTGACCAGGGAGGCAAAGACGCATGAGGATGACAGGCCTTCCTGACAGGCCTTCCTACCTCTGGCTACTTCATCTGTGGTACAAGTAATTAACAGTTAGTGACAGAAGGAATGTGTAGTTTGCATACCAAAATGTTTTATTAGTGTAATTTTAGGGCCAATTAAACTAGTTTTATTCAAAGTACGTTAAATTACATACAGTATTAACAATCTCTAGACACAATGAACTTAAAATGTAAGGAAGAGAAATAGAAATCTTTCACAGGCCCAGTTGTAGAACTCAAATGAAAATTTACAAATATAGAAAAGATGATGCTTAATGAATAAGGATTTTAATATCAGAACCCAAAAGATATTTTAAACACGCATGTTTCAAAAGGGGAAAATTCTTTAATAATTTAGCATAAAATCAAATTATATAAACTTGGTATATTCCAGAAAATATTGCTTTAAACACTTATACCATGATCAAAAGTCCTTTGGTAGCTTTTAATCAAAATGAAACATGCTATTTTGTAAAATATAAAGTACTTTTTAAGTGTTATCACAAAAGTATTTTGTCAGTTACCATACTAACATCACTACTGAACCTTCCTGTCACTGCTCAACATTGTATGTGCACAATTGGCCAGGTGCCAACAAAATCCTTTTAGTCTCTCAACAAATGACCTCTGCATCACAACGTCAAGGCTTGGGTCTCCTGTGAAGCTCTCTACAGTGGGCAGAGAACAAGGACGCTCCCTGGACACAACTGTAAAACCAAACCACACTTTATTATGGTAATCACACAAATACTGCAACCTAAAA